CCTCAATGTTGGCTCCTCCTGTGCTGGCCCTGTCTAACTGCCTACAAGATATCTAATTAACTTACCTATCTACAATACCCCCCATACATGAATAATACCCCTAACTACTCTGAGGGCACAAAGGGTGGCTACTTCCAGCTGAAGAGGACTGTAGTTGTGATCAGCAGTCAGAGTTACTATACGGAGGGTCTACCTAAAGGTCTTTGATAGGTGCCAGGCACTGTCATCTTGGGTAGGTGTATAGCTTTGAGTATAGAAGAGACAAAGCCAATGAAACAGTTAAGAATACAAGGGCTAAATTATAAGGTCAACAGGATTTCTATGAATATAGCCAACAAACATTTCCACCAGGAGGAACTAGTAGTGCCCTCCCACAAAGAGGATAAGGAGAAGGTCCAGGGTAATTCAGAGTCCAATGCACAAGTCAAAATGTAATTTAGCAATTATAAGCTATTTACAAGGTTGATCTAATAGATCCTAGTAAAAGAAGTCTAGCACATTTGTCATTGCTTCCATTTAGAACCAGCGCTTGGAGTTTGGTAGTCTCTAGGCAAGAATAAAAAAACAATTTAAAGAAATTAGAGCATGTATAATCTAAGCATGAGCACACTAGAATGGAAGGGAATGTTGGGGAGAAAGTCACACCTAGAAATCGAAATAGTGATTGTAACCTGTTGACTCTTAGACTCTTTCATTGATAGAGGTTATCTGTAAGTCTGATACTTTATCATGAATCCATTACTTTTAGCTGTAAGAAGATGAGACAATTTGAAGAACAAATTTCATTAAGAAATTGAAAACTCTAGCTGAGCTCCTAGGATAAATCTTGTAGATTTTATTGTAGTTTTTTCCTAATGATACATGACCATGGTTAGCTACTGGTTGGTATAGCTGGAAACTGCCAGAGGGGGTCAGTGATTGGAGCCCATTTTTATATCAAGCTTTATTACTATGACACTATTTTTATATCTCTTTTTGTTCTTTTCTGCTGGGTGTTTACAACCAAGTTAAAGTGAGACTTGTGCCAATCAATATGAACTTCTTGCTATCTACCAAGGTCAGTTAAGTCTCCTCAGGCATTATTTTGAAACCATGAACAGAGCCTGTCAGCTCCTCTGTGAGTGTCAGCCATCAGGCTGGGTCACAGCCTTGCTTGATCATGTTTCTTTTGGTGAAAGCACTATCACATCTTTATTCATTCTTCTAATCATGAACTATTATGTTGATTCCCTATTAACTATTGTTAGTAGTGCTGCAGTGAACATTGGAATGCAGATTTTCTGCACCACAATGATAATTAGTTCCTTTAGATATATATCATGAGTCACATGATAAATCTTTTTTTTTTTTTTTTTTTTTTTTTTTTTTTTTTCGAAATCTATTTCTAATATTTTAGGATTCTCCATACTGTCTTTTATAATGTGTGCATTGATTTATACTCTCACCAACAGTATGAAAGAATTCCTTTTTCTCCTTTGCCAACACTTGCTAACTTTTGTTTTTGTAATAGTCACTATAACAAGTATGAGACCTCTCATTGTGATGTTAATTTGACTTTTTCTGATAATTAATGATGTTATGCATTTTTTGTATCTCTGTTCTACATTTATCTTTTTTTGAGAAATGTCTATTTGGGATCTTTGGTCATTTTTAATATTGAGTTGTTTGGTTGAGATCAAGTTACTTACATATTTTGTATAGTAAACCCTTCATGAGATGTACAGATCTCAAATATTTTCTCCCATTCCATAGGTCATCTCTTCATTGTATTGATCATCTTGTTTTTGCTGTGTATAACCTTTTTATTTTGATGCAATTTCATTTGCCTAATTTTTATTTTGCGGCCTTGTGCCTTTGAGGCCAAATAACAAAAATCATTTTCAGACCAATATAAAGGATCTTCCCCCATTTCTTTTAGTAGTTTCAGTTTTAGGTGTTACACTTATATCTTTAATCCATTCTACTTGATTTCTTAAAACTTGTTATAGAATATAATTTCATTCCTTTATGTGGATAGTTTCTCCAACATCGCTTATCAAAAAGACTGTACTTTATACATTGCATGTTCTGGAAAATTTTATCAAAGATGAACAGGCCATAAATGCATATGTATCAGCCAGTGTTTAACCTCTTTGTCATGGTGCATTAGTCACTTTTCTGATATTGAGACAAAACACTCATCACTTTCAACTTAAAGTAGGAGTGGCTTATTTGGCTCATGATTCCTGGTAGGCTGGCTTCATGGGAGAAACAACGTCATGAAAGGCCATGGCAGAGGAAAGATGCTAAGCCAATGGCAACTAAGTAGAGAGCAAGAGGAAGTGCAGAGCCAGGGACAAGAATACACTGTTCCAGATAATGCCTCTAGTGACCTTCTCCTCTATCTGATCTTCCCTAGCAGCACATGAACTACTGAACTCACCAATGGATAAATTGATTAATGAATATAGTGCCCTATGATCTAATTACCTTCCCTACACATGAGAATTTTGAAGGACATTTTATATCTAAACCATAATACATGGTGAATGGTGCCATTCAAGCAGTGAGTACCACCATACTACACTGGAGTGAGGATGAAAATGGAACCAAGCCCTGCATAAACCAAGAGAAACGTGGGGTGGCCAAGAAATAGTTTGTTTTTGTCTTAAGCTACTAAGACTTGTGGGTAGTTTGCAGACAAAAAGTGTTAGCATAACATGATTCAGACACACAGGATTAAAGTCTGTTTGATAAGATTATTTAGGGGAGGCAAACTGTAACTGTTTAGAATTTATAATCCTAATATGACTCTGAATATTAATTAGTCCTCTCAAGTGAAAAAAATGGGGGAGAACGTTGCTGTGGATAGAGTTAATTGGTAGAATGCACACCTAACATGCATGAGATTGTGGATTCAATTCTCAATACTGGGAGAAAAAAAAGCAGATGGCTAATTTTGAGTTAGTGAATCAATAAAGGAACGCCACTTTATTCAAGCTGAGAAAAGGTGCAACCACTAATACTAATCAAGGAGAGGGGCTAATATAATTCCCTCTCAAAATTTGTTCTGCTATGAAAAAGGACAGGCATTATTGCTGCAACAACGCTTTTCTCTACCTTGAATTTATTTGGTCTGTGGTACTGAGATGAACCCTACATTGATTTATTTCCCTCCAATTATTTATCCTTTAGCTTATATAAAAGATAATTTAATCATTCTTTTTAGTATTCATCATCCTTCAGGTCTCCATTTCCAGTATTACTATTCAATATGGTAACAATAAGTGAGGTATTACCTTAAGATAGACTCCATTCATTATCAATGCTACAAGCTTAGTTTAAGTTTTTATTACTCATCTTCACAGCAAGATCCTATTAAATAGTCCCCAAGCCTTTTCTTCTCTTTTCGAATAAATTCTTTGCAAGCTTTCAGATTAACATCATAGAAGGGTTCTGATCGATCGTGCCACATTCTTATATAAAAATCTTTAGTAGATTTTGCTCTCAGAAAATAATTTAGGTAGTCATTTGTATTACTTTACTAAGGTTATTACTATAAGGTACTGGAAACTGTGTGACTTAAACAATAGAATTATACTGTCTCACAGATCTGAAGGCAGAAGTCTGAGATGAAGTGTTGATCTTCTGACAGTTCTATGGGAGAGTCTGCTCTACTCCTCTACCCCAGGGCCTGGCAGGTGGCTGGCAATCTTTGTTATTTCATGGCTTGTAGAAGCATCACCTTCATCTTCATGTGATATCCCCCTTGAGACTGTGTCCAGACTTCCCCTGCCTATAAGGACACCAGTCATACTGGTTTAGAGTCAATGCTATTCCAAAAGACTTCATCTTAACTAATTATATCTGAAACAAACTTATTTCCAAATATGGTCACACTCTGAGGTTATGGGAGTTAAGAACTTCAACATATGAATTTTGGGTGAAAAACATTGTCACCTTTTAGTAGTATTCAAGATTCTCACAAAGATTTGTACTTACCTTTTCAGCTTTCTCTATCATTACACCTTGCTACTTTACATTCAAGGCAGTACAAACAAACAAATCCCTACCCTTCTGTGAATCATAATAGTATTTTTTTTTGTCTTTGTGTATTCCTTGTTTCTTTTGTATTCACTCAGCAAATCCTATATATTTTTCAAGTTGAAGTTTAAATAATTTTTCTGCCATATGGCTAAACCTAAGTTTTCTATATAAAAATATCTCCTTTTTGCTTCCCGAAGTACTTTGTCTGTACTGGTCTCCTGGGATTTGGCATGTCCTAATTTATAATTTGCATTGTTCCTGGCTTATATGGTCTATATTTCTTACCAGGTGCTAAGATCCTAATGAGGATGAGGTGCACATCTATCTTTTAATATTCCCACAGATTTGCAGAAAAAATAATATTAATGAATACTCTGGGCTTTAATAAATTACACAGAAATGTAAAAAATATTTCAAAGCAACATGCACTTTTCAGACCCTAACCTTGAACCTGCATAACAAATTAGGCTAATTTGAAATTAGCAATATTTTATAAAAATCTATTAGACAACCCTAAGATTCTTCCTACAATATTGTATGCAGTAGTTATGACACAGAAAGAAGTTTCATTTCATTCATGTTATAATTCATTCAACACTTATTAGTCCCATTCTGGGTCATTTAAATAAAATTTTTAAAGGGGGAGATATTCAAGAAAATTGAAAACCTGAAAATGCAGTATCAGTGTCAGAGAAAGACTGGGAGGCTGAGGCAAGAGGACTGAAGGTTCAAGCCCAGCCTGAGCAACTCAGTGGGAACATGTCTCAAAATAAAAAAAAAATCAGACAAAGGTTTAAGAGTTTTGAGCTGGAATTTATTACCTCAGAAGCAAAAGTGGTTTAACTGTTCTCTATTTAAAAGAACTGAATTCTACACATTATACGCTTCTTTTCATATATACTATATATAATATATATATATACACATACATATATACACACTGATATATGATATAATATGCATATAATAAGCATATAATGTATATGCGTTTTTTGCTCTACATTTCTATATTGATATCAAATGTGACATAACTTTAGATACAGTTATAAAAATTCAGGATTTAGTCATTAAGACTATTTCAAGACACTTGTTCTATACAACCTATTTTAATGGTTACAATATCAACATTCTTCTAAACAAGCATGTTAAATCAATTTTGGTATTTACTAACTTAAGTATTCAAGGACTTGGTTTGAAGAGTCCAACAGACCAAAAGTCTGCTTCTCAAGAGTACCATGATCATCTATCAATGAAGCGGTTTGGGGATTCCTATATTCTAATAGTTCATGCTCCTTGCTTGATGTCAGTAACTCATTATCAACTACGCCAATAGCTGCATCTTCTACCAGGATATCTGCTTGGTGTGTTCCAACTGGAATATCAGGCAATCCAATATAGTCATGATCTGCCACTATAGCACCTTGCAAGAGATAAAGACTATCTGAAAGAAGAAACATGATCAATTTTTCAGAATTATAAACGTCATTTTAAAATTGAACAATGTTGAGAGGAAAAAAATCCAAAGTAATAAAAAGCAACTGTCAAGATTAAATATATGTCAAACTGTGAACAAAATGATATATGTGTACATTTGCCAGTTCACACATAAAGAATGAAGGAAGATGAAGCATTTTAGAACATTCACACTTTTCTTTCTTTTGGAGGGGGCAGTGGGAATTGAACTTGGGCCCTTGTGCTTGTGAAGGAGGTGGTGAATCCACTGAGTCAGATCCCTGGCCCACACACTTTTCTATTCCCTGGACCTTTTTGGTAGATATTTATGTGTGGAGATAGGTAATAGGAATAGAATGGATCAGTGATCAACGATGATGAAACTTTTAAAAACCAACTGCAACCCAAAACCACTAATTTGATGTGGAGTTCCAACACTGAAATTAAGCCTGAATACTGAGGTTTTAGTTTAGAAAAAAACAACTGTTAACCAATGTTAATCTATTGTTTTAAAAGAAAAACACAATAACGTGTGCCATAAGTTTGCCACCACTGGTATAGTTTAAAAAGAAAACTATGAAATGATATTTTTGATAATGATATATCCTTAATATGCTTCAGGAAAACCTTTCTTGGTGAATTAACAAATTCAGTAAAGGTATTTCAACAAATACAACTGTTACATTCTTATATCACAACCTTAGATACTTCCCCAATCTTTATAGACTCCATATTAGGAAGATAATATGAAATTGTTATAATATGAACTAGAAGAAGAGAGTTTCTAGGATCATGTTTATGTGGAGGCAGGCTTCAATGAAGTAGCTTAAAAAGCTTAGTTTATCTAAATCTAATCTGATACCAAAATTCTTAGGAACTTTTAAGGCCTACCTGATTCACACTAAAACAATGACTGGTAATCTTCCTTGTCTTCCTTTTAGCAAAGGGCAAAAAGTGCTTTAAAATGAATGTTAAAAAGATAGTAAAATTGGCAGAATATTTTAATATAAAGAATAATATACAGAAAAGGTTTCTTTTCTACATGATAATTTAATTCATTACCAAAATGAACTCTTCTACCAGTTTATTAACTTCCTGACCATTGTCTTTTCTTTCCAGACTTTCTCCTAAAACATTAATGGATACTGTTGAAGGTTTTAATAGCTTTAAGAGTCCTCAAACTTTCAAGTTCAAGAAAGAACAAACAGAAGACGAACTGGACATTTAGATTAGGGATCAATGAAAGTTCCTTAGAGCAGATAAATTTGCTAGTATATCCAGGGAAATGATCCCACTCAAGTGATCCCTACTCATCCTATGTGAGCCTATTTCCACCCTCATAAGTTCATGAATTTAAGAAATTTCAATTTACAAACTTCAATAAACCATAAAAGTCTATGCTGTCTATTAACATATGTCATTAGAGGGCTTGAGGTTATGTGGTCATTTAGTTTGCCCATTTAGTTCTCCATTAGGCAAAATGTGGTCTATATTTTGGTTTAAAAGGGTTTTCTTTTTTTTTTCAGCTTTAATTGAGTTTATTGGTACATTTTAGGGATACAATACAGTTACATTCATTGTTGGGATCTTGTACCTCTACATGACAAGTCTTAGTTCTCATTTTTTCCCCTTGTCCCTGCCCTCCCTTCACCCCCTCCTCCCCTCCCCATCTACAACCACTTTATTTCCATCTTTTCATTATCTCACATTTTTTTCTTTTCCCTTTTTACCCTTCCCCTACCCATCCCACCTTCCCTACACCTTTAGCTCCTTTCCTCCCATTTCTCAATGTCAGTAATCTTATTAGGATCTTCTGTATTATTGAAGATTATTCACACCAGAGAAACTATTCGGTATTAAAAAGGTTTTCTACATTTAACCTCTTCAATTTTTATCAATGTAAAAGCAGAGATTAGATTGAAAATGACAAGATGATACCTTGTTTATAATAGAACTAAGGTATAAAAACAAAAAGCAAAATGGAATAAAGTACAGATAATTGAAGGTGACAGAAAATAATTTCTGATTGCCTCGATGGGATGAAATGCTGGACAAGAGAAATCTCACTGATGAAATATATATCATATGATCCACAATAAGTATTATGATCTATAGCAGGAAAAAGGATCAAAGAAATAAAAACACTTACAGTGTGATACTAGAGGTTCTATATCAAAGTCTGCTTTTGCTAACTGTTAATACAGGAGAGAACCAGGTGAGAAAACTTTAAAAAGATATGTATGGTAAAAGTGCTACTAATGAATTTTTCTAATAGCCATGGATAATTTCACAGATTCAAAGCCTGTACACTGCTACAAAGTCATAAGTATGAAAGACATCATACTGATTTAAGAAATTTCCAAAAATACTTTCAGAATCTCTGTTGAAGGAGGTTTTCTGCTCCCCAAATTTTTCTATGCAAATGAGCAGGTTGGTCTATTTCAGAAAAATAAGACTACTAAATATATATATATATATATACATATACATATATATATACATCATATACATATATATATACATCATATACACACACATATATATATATATGTATACATCAGAGCAGAAAATGTTTGTCTAGATTTTAAGCTAAGAGTTACTACTTTGATATTTTAGAAATGCATTCAGAGACCTTGGCTTAAGTACTTCTTATACTGGATTTAGAAAAAAACTAGAGTTTACCAATATCTCTTATAATAAGAGGCAAGTTTCTACACTTACATAATTTAAGTATTACACATATTTTTTTCTTTTTAAATGGTAAGATTTAAGGTACTTATTAGAATAAAACTGTAGGAAACAAAGATTATACTCAGCAAATTCTACACAAATCACTTTACACAGAATGGAAAATTTTTCTGAAGAAGTCAAAGGCCTGTTTATAGAGGAAAAAGTATTCTCATTCATTCAGAAAGGTCAAATATGGTTCAACTCCCACTGTGGTTTAAATCCACTGGAGTCAACATAAATGATCTTGATTTCAATAAAGATTATCAAAAAGGAAACTACTAGGGCCAAGGAATCTATGTTCATCTAATAATATATTTTGGACACACAATTAGTTATATAAAATATAATATGAAAATTATTTTTACCCAATTCTTTGTATTTTTAAAATGTGTTAGAAAATTTAAAATGACATGTTACATAGTTTTTGCATTATGCATCTACTGGACAACAGTGATGTAATCTTAGTTAAGTATAGAAAAGTTTTTACCCCCCAAAGAGATAAATATGACCACAATGAAAAACTTTTCTACTACATTATATAGCAGAACTTACTAAGTATTTTTCTTTTTTCATTTAATTCAGCTATGATTATGATATCTGTCTAATGAAAGTACATCAATTTTGACCAGATTGAATAATTAAATCTTCAGTCTTTGAGGCATTTTTAGAAAGATGTTACCAGCAGTTTTGACAGACTTTTTTCTCACATAGTTTTAAGGAATTAAAGACAAAAATAGACTTTTAAATTTCCCTACAGAGAGAAATAAATTAAAAGCAAAGTCTCACAAAAATCTAAATCATTTATCTCTTCAAACAGAAAGACACAAGGTTTCACACTATTTAATTTTCTTATCCTGAAGTGACTAAATTAACTCTATATGTGGTCTGATAATCTTCACATTTTTGAGTATGTTGTCATTCTAGTACATCCCTTCTTCCGATAAAATAACTACAATTTCATTGTCGTTATCATCAGTAATGCTATTGAGAGAACTTGATTTGACTGTTAGAGACTATATTACTAAAAGGCCAAAGGACACCTTTCTCTGCATCAACTATATAAAAATATATACGATATATAATAATAATGATGTGGTGATCATAGGCTTAATGTCAGAATGTCTTGATGTCATAAGAGTAAGCTTGGCTTTGCTTCATGAATGTAGATCAAAAATGTAGTAGAATAACAAACTTGCCAGTATGTCCACATATGAATCCCTAAAACCTGTTAATATATAGCCTTATAAAACAAAATAATAAAATTAATGATGTAATTAAGGCTGACAGTAAGCAGATCTTAAAATAGGGATTTTCCTGGACTATTTGGTCAGGTCCAAGGACAAGGACCTCAAGTGTAGAAGGACAAAGAAGAGAAGGTAGAGCCTTTAATGGCTTTGAAGATGGAGATGGAGGAAAAGAACCACAAATCTTAGAATGAAGGTAGCCTCCAAAAGCTAGAAAAATTAAGGAAATGGCTTCTCTCTTAGAGTCTAGAGAAAGGAACATAAATCTATCAATCCCTCAGTTATAGCCCAGGGACACCTATGTTAAAATTCTGATGTACAAAATTTAAAGATAATATATCTCTGTGTTTCAAGCTACTAAATTTGTTATAGTAGCAATAGTAAACTTCTATAATAACGAAAATCATTTCATAAATGGGGCTTTCCACATAGAAAAAAGAGACTAAGATTTTGTGAGGCAGATCCAAATCTATAACAAACTCAGCCAATTAAAATTATTAAAATTCTATGTTGTATGGAATAACAGATCAATAGCATAATTTTTCCTTTGTAAGAGAACATTATGACTACAGAGAGATAGTATGGCATATTTAGATTCTCTTGTTAAAATAATTAGCCTGAAAGAGTATTTGACATTGAATTAGAGAAGATAATAAATAGTCCTTCTTAAAATAGCAATGACAATATTACAGGCCTAGTACTGAATGTGTTCTCATTACATTATGTTTTAGATAAGAATGGATAAGAAATAGGCATTATGTCGCTTGAGATAATGAGTCTTTAGCTACAAAATCTCAAGCCTGGTAAAGATCAGCAATGACAAATAGAGACAGATTTATAATTCTTTCAGATATAAGTTGTCCAAATTTATGCCAATTAAAGTTGTACAATTATTCAAAGATACTGTTTGCACTAAATTCAGCTGAAAGACTCTTTAAAATCAGTTTCTTAGGTTAATATTCTTAGGAAAATACAAGGCCCCAAGGAAAATGATGGTGGAAATCACCTTTATTTTGAATTTCTGCAAATTAGAGAAACACACACACACACACACACACACACACAGACACACAAGACACACAGACACACACACACACACACACACACACACACACCCACCCACCAGACAGTAATCAAGAATTACTTTCTAGGATGGCCAGATCATCACTTTCTTTAGTTAACAACTAAAACAAATTCATCCATCAATTTCAGATTCCTTACGTGTACACCAGTAGTAATACTGCAATTCTCTTATATTTTTGGAGGAAACATCTGCAGAGAATCAATCATGAGGCAAAAATTATACTGCATCTATTTAGAAACTTTTGTTCTCAATCTGGTTCTGAAATGTTTAGAAATTGCAAAATATTTTATCTCTTTTCAGAAAAGTCTTTGAAAAAAGCAAACTACAAAATGTTGAAACTGATCCCAATACAATATTTTAAATGTAAATTTTGTATTAAGGAAGGGATTAAAAGAAAGCAAGTCCTAAATGACAAAGACTAAGGAGAAAATCTCCGAAAGAAGAAAGAACAACGTGTACCTGTATAATTTTTTTTTCCTACCTAGCTGGCAGAAGGGAGAGATTATCAAGGTATCCTAGCACTGAGAAGGCACAAGAAGTGAAAGCACTTATCTTCTAAAAAAAAAGAATGAAGGTACTTGTGAGTTTCAGAATTAGAACACAGTCACAGATAAGTTCACTGACTAGAGCAGCTGGGTCTGTCACAAGAAAGAAAGGCACGAAGAGCTTTCAACACTAGAGTTGTGGCTCAGATAAAAAACAGAGTTCAGTTATTACTGGGCAACCCTAACGGCTTCATATCTAAAAACAGAATTTGTTGTTGCTGCCCATTATTTACTTACTCATGTTAAATAACTTGTTTGTTGTTTAAAACATTGTGTCATACATCAGATATTAAAAAAATAAATTTTTCCTACTCTTAACAACAACAACAGACATTGAATTAGACTGTGAAAGAAATTAAGAAGATCAGGATATCTTGACTGTTAAGAACTAGTAATATTTTGGGCCAAGTATAACCTTGTTTAGAGTGCTATCACTTCTCACAGCCCCGTGATGTGTTCTGAAGACACTACACTTTGCACACTCACCTCTCCTCACCTATGACCTATCTATGAAGCAGCATTAAACATTAATGACATTAATTCCCTTATGTATTTCACAGATTCCAGACAGTATGTTTTGACATTAACATTCTTATCGCTGTTTTCCACCCTAAAATGGGGTACAAAGTGACCAACAGAATGTTGTATAAGCAAAAATAGAAACATAATCTTTCTGTGATACAGGTTCAGTGTATTCTCTATCAACTATGAAAAGCACTCCAGAAATCAAAATAAAATCTATTTCAGAAGACATATTCTAATAAAACACATGATACGGTATATCTGAAACTAAATTTTATAAAAATGAGAAGGGAAAAGAAAACCTAAGCAAAAGAGGGAAGAGAGACTTAATTTCTCTGCTCAAAGAAAGTAAAAATGTAGAGAAGCAACAGACACTTACCTTGTTCACTGGATTCTCTTACATAAGGCTTAAGGTGGGACATTTTGATAGGTCTTTTAAGCCTAGACCCCGTGTTGTCTCTCAGGACAGCACACCCACTTTCTGTAATATAGTCTATGACACAAGGACCAACCCATTCGGACTGGAAACGACCATCTTTCCACCGATTTTTCCTTTGTCTTAAAACTTCATGACCCACTTTTAAATGAAATGGATTTAACTGCTTTGTTTTCTTTTTAACAATGATCTTGCTTTTATGTAGTCCATTCAAATGGTTCTCCATCTACAAGTGTAAAATAATATAAAAAGATGAAAGATTTCTGGAAGTAAATGCAGATAAGAGACAAAATGGTTATTTCCTATAAAAAGGTAGTCATGACTCCTACTTAATCCTTAAAGCAACATTTTAAAGTCAGCATTACTATCTCTACTTTACATAAAAGGTAAGTAACACAGGTGGAGTAATTTTCCAAAGTCAAACTCCTGGCAACAGCAAGACTAGATTTGAATCCAGCTTTCTTGCTTCTAAAATTCATGTTTGTTTCATTATTGTCTCTCAGAATTCCATAGCTAATGTTTAGCCAGGACAAGCAGGAATTTCTAGGTAAAACATTTTGGTTTAAGGGTATATCAAAATAAGTATACTTCTTAGAATTTTACAGTTTTTCTATTAAATAGCATCACCTGGCCCATTGAAGTTGTCTTTGTCTCCATTATTTTATCAGCTTCTTTAACTGCATCTAGAATTCTGGCAAACATACTTGTATTATTGGCATCCACTTCATGAAGAGTATCTGAAGTCATTGGCATGTAAGGATTTCGATTAAACATTTGAAAATATGGTGTATTTTTAGCAGGCTCCTATTTTAAGGAAAAAAACAACAAATTTGTAATAGAATATTTCGGCGAAGAAATATTCATAGCTAAGAAATATGGAATTAATAAAAAGGGCACATACCAAGTGAGTTGCATTGAAGGCAAAGGAAACAGCTGATAAATGCTCATCCCAGTTCTCTGGGTGATCGGCACAGTGTTTGGAGAGAAATGCTTTGACTGTTCTAGGTGTACTTTCAGTTGGATTAATAGTTCCAGAAGTATGAGAAATTACAATCTCTTTTGTACCAAACAATCCATACAGTTCAACATTGATCTGAAAAATAGACAACATGAAGTTGACGTTTTTTTTTTTGTTTTGAGACAGGCTCTTACTATGTAGCACAGACTGGCCTCAATTTCAAAATCTTCCTGTCTCAGTCACCCAAGTGCTAGGATCACAGGTAAATGCCAACTTGCTTGGGTCCAAAAGGTGACTTTTTCAAGTTTGTATTTTTTGAGATTTAAAAAAATGGCTTCAGGCCAATGATTTTGTTCAGTGGTTCTGCTGCCTGCCTCGCAAGCGGAAGGACCCAAGTTCGATCCCTGGTACCCCCTCCAAAACAAAACAAAAACAAAAACAAAACAAACAAAACAAAAAACAGCTCCAAAAGAATCTGAAACTTGCCTTTCCCGCTGTTCATAGCCATTTCAAATAAAGATACACATATTTAGTTTAAAATAGGAGCTACAACTGGAGGTTCTCACGATGTGCTGGTCAACATAGTTCATCTTATTTTTGTTAAACTATAAAATTATTTTATTTACCCTATTTTATAGTCAAGAACTTGAAGCTTTGGAAAGTTGAATTCCTTACCAAATTTAAAAATATAACAAGGATGCAACAGGCTACAATTTAATACTGTGTGTTAACTAATTTTATAATTCAGTACATATTGCCCCCAGTAAATACTAGGTGACACCTGGCCCAGTCAGTTTCCTCATTTACAAAATGAAGAAAATCTTACCCTTAACTCTCTTGAGGTTTAAATGAATGAATAGTTATAAAGTATTTAAAAAAATTCTTGGCAAGTAGTATATTCTGGCTTTTAACTGCTACTACTATTATTACAGTTACTATATGTAGGGTCTATAAGAAGTCAACATGAGTTTAGAAAACAACAGTAAGCAGTAACTCTTGTATGTTTTAATCTTTATTAGCTTTAATTGAGTTAAGTTTTGATTGATAAATTTTTTAAAAGAAGGAAATCTCAGATAACAGACTAATTAAAAAAGATAAAGTTAATCAAAGAAAAGCTAAATAATAAAATTACATTTTTCAAGCTCCGTAGAAGACAAGTGTGATCATGCAACACAGTGCTGGTAGAACAAGATGCACGTGAAAGTTGTTGCTAGTACTTGTTGTTTTTTGCCCATTGTTTTTCCCTTCTTTCTATGGATACTGTGAGTACATAATTGAGAGTCACATCCCAAAGATAGTGGAAAAGCAAGTTAAAAGCATGGATGCCCAATGACACTTGCTGCTACCATATTAGCCTTGGATAGCATGGACTTCTTTTACCAGAGTACAAAATAAACTTTTACAGTTTACATGTAGGGAAAGGGAGACAAGTTCTCGTTATTTGCATCTGACCATAATTATTTGTGCTTCCATATATATATATGTTTAAGTGGCCTCTTTCATATTAAAAAGTAATTAGAATGAAATCCCAGAGAATAGCTATCATTGGTATCAATGTGAGGTCTCAATCAATGGTTTTAAATGACCCCCAGAAAAGGCTTCAATTTTTTTGTTTCAAGAGGTTGGCAATATAGTGCAGTGTTGGTGAACAGAGCCCCTTTGTCAGCACATAAGCCAAGTTGTCCCAGCAACAGAACACTGGTTAACAGTTGTTTTTTCTAAACTAATCTTAGTGTTCAAGCTTATTTGCAGCACTGGCATTCTGCAACAAGTGAGTTTTAGGTTGCAGTTTGGGCACTCAGTCTCTAAAAGGTCCACCATCATTGATCTAGTGGATCCATTTGTAGATCAGTCTAGACATCTTTATCCATCTTCACATCTCATCCCATCAGCTTTTGATCCTCACCCATCAAAGCAGGTATTCCATAAGTCTTTACAATTTTATTTTTATATATGAGATTTTTCTTTAAAGTCAAGAAATTTCACAATGAAGATGTTTATTCTCTTCATAGGTTTACAAGAACTTTTTGTTCCTTTTACTACAACAATTTATCAAATATTCTAAGATGAAATATGTCGGAAACATTGGTATTTTTATCCAACTGTATAATAAATCTCTCACACAAATCTTATTTCAACACTCTAGGAATGCTTTCTGTATTTTCTGATGCACACAGTTTATTTTGTCACCATTATGCTTTCTATGTGATATTTATGTCATTTTAATCGAGCAAAAAGTATAAGTTTTCTCAACCTTATATGACTTTTTGTACTTTTTTTAAAAAATTGAGTTTATTGGTACATTTTAGGTATACAGTACTGTTGCATTCATTATTGGGATCTTGTACCTTTTTTTAAAATTGACTTTTTGTACTTTTTTACTAAGAAACCTCACAAAAGAATTGTAAACATTTATTAATTACATTATATGAGTTCATTTTAAAGTCTGGGTTGATTATCCTATGAGTTTAAATATGACTGGAAAACTGTTAGCTAGTCACAAAGGCATCTGTAGTATCATTAGCTAATAAGATATTAACCATAATTATATATATTATAATTAGCTTTCTTGAAGCACAATATGCACTCAGTGGAAAAGCTCTTCATAAAAGTGGATGTGAATTACTATTTCAGAGTCTTCTTAATAATTCTGATGGCCATTTCTCACCAGATCCAATTGATAGTATTTTTTTTCTCATTAGTGTGACTAACAAAGAGCTACACCAGAAGTTAAGTAGAACTGTCAGCTCTACCATTTTTTTGTGGCTGATAAATGTTTGCATTTTAGTATTATATTATTTCACTGCAAGGGAGTTTAGCCACCTGGTCATCCTATGGTAAAATTTAGATTATATCAATAAATTCAGTTAACTGCTGAAAGCAAAAGAATGAACAGGGAAATGACCGTAGACCTCTACATATTATGAATTCTTCTTTTTCTGTCAGGGTATCTTCACATTTTATGTGGATTAATGACTAAGCTAAGAAGCTATTATCAATCAGTACCCATTAGCAGTAATGCTACGTCTTTATTTTCTAGATTAAAAAAAAAAGTTCTAAGTCTCTCCCAAACTAGACTGTCTTACACACCCCATTGCACAGACAACTGCAAACTTCTGCACATTTACAACACACTTTTCTATCTTTCTGAGTGACTTAATGCAACAAAGTTTCACTTATAGCTTTTACAAGGTTGGCTATACATCTGGTTGCCTCTCAAAGGCAAGTTTCATCATTTTATAGTGTAACATCTACAACATTCAGTCAATTCTTCAGATAAAGGTAACTGGGAGACTGAGGAACTGCACAAGAGCTTTTTCTTGCTTCAGGCTAATAGTAACGCATCACTCGCTATTCCATTTCTTTGGCCAGAACCAGTTATGAGGGCTTGCCTACTTGCAAGAGCCTAAAAGGACATGTTGGCAAGGAGAGAAGAACTAGTTATTGCTAAACAGAAGTGTTTTCTATTAGTTCACAAATGAAATAGAAGGTTATACATACATGTTCAGTAATGGAAGAATTACAATGTAAAAAAATCTATAATCTGACTATGCTTTTAAAAGCCTCCAGTTATAGCTTCATATCTACTCTATTTTTTTTTTTTTTGTACCAGGGATTACAGTCAGGTCCTTGTGCTTGAGAGGTAGGCGGTAGAACCTCTGAGCTAAATCCCTGGCCCTGTATCTACTGTTATTTTTATAGTCATCTGTGAAAATACATGTCCATATATGTCATGAAATTCTTTATCTAGACTTTTCATATTAAAAATACTTTATTTCCCTTTCTTTGTTAATATTTTAATAGTTACATTAAAAAGTACATAAAATTTATTACTTTCAAGCATCACTATAATGGCAACATTAAAATATTTCACCATGTGGCTAGACATCTTTCTGAAGCACGTTTTTTTGATATTTAGGTTGTTTCTATCTCTCACTAACCTGAATAGCACTGTGGTAAAAATTATTATAAAATATGTTTCTGTAGTTGAACAATTTAATTAGAATAAGTTTCTTATTCACAATATAATTGCTTATGAAGACATATATTTATAAATCTTAATGGATCTTTTGTGATTACAAAAAGGTAAGTTTCAAGCTGTAATGCTACAAGTATTATAAGGCTACATCATCCTAGTTGCTGTGCTATTCTTACCATTTTTTACTATAGAAACAAAAACTAATGTTAACTTATATTTCATTATTATTAAGTTTGAATATTTTATCTATGTTTAGAATTTTTCTTCCTTTCGAAAATTATTTGGATTGCTCCTTAGCCTTTTGGCTAAGATCAAGTGAAAATTATTTGGTTTTGCTTTTGATTGAATTTGATTGAATTTGTTTGAATTTTTAATTATAAAGATATCAGCCATTCCCCATATAGATCTACTTTATTTCAGTTCTTTTACCACATATAACTTTCTAATTTTTTTTTTTTTTTTTAGCCAGAGACTGAACTCAGGACCTTATGCTTACAAGGCAGGTGCAGCGTCACTGAGCTACATCTCTGGTCCTATAACTTCCTAGTTTTTATGCTGTGAAGTTTGATGTTTTTCCATTGAAATGTATAGTATTGTTCCTAAACTTAGAAAGTGTTCTCCATTTCTAGAAAAACAAAAACTGAATTACTCCTATTTTTTATTTCTATGAAAGACATAAAAATTACTTAACCTACTAGACAATAGTTTTGATATATATATTTCATTTTAAAACCATATTACAGAAATAATTACAAAATTGTTCCTTATCAATCTATTATATAACCATTCCCTCTTCCACTCATTGGTGATGCCACTTTTATCATTTTAATCAGTTATTAATATTCCCAGTTAACATCAGTTATATACCATGAAACATACTAGCTTGATGTAGTTCATGGTTTCAATAGATCAAGTTTGATGATGCTATATCTTTACAGTACTTTTTTTTCCAGCAAATGCTATAATAATAAAAAGCATTTACTATGTTAAAAATATCACTGACACAGAAAGTAAGGATAGTTGGTAGTTTCCAATAGGATCCCAGGGTTTGAGAAATAGTAGTCAACAAGGACACACAACCTATTAGCAAGAAATTCGTTATTTAAGAATAATATAAAATAATTTTCTTTAAATTCATATATAATTTGGGCTGGGGGGTTGCTGAATATTGAACCCAGAGCTACATCCTTCAGTCCCAAGAATCAGACTATTAAATGGCTACAAACGTGGCTAGAATGTAAATGCTTATTAAGTTGTTTGGAAGGACTTGTGCAGAAAATAGTTAACATGGCAGATCTGAGATTGTTACCCTTTGAAAGACCTGCTTACAAAGTTTTCTAGCATGCTGGATTCTGGATACCACTGAAAGCTTTCCAGTCATTTTCTAATTGATGAGGGTAGCTCATGAGGCCTAAACAGTTTATAAAATAATGTGGCTTATGCTAAATAATTTTTGTTCTGTGGGTCTGTAATAGAGGATACATATGTGAACAAGAATCAATAAAAATCCTGGCTGGGTGTGGTGTGCATGCCTATAATCCCAGCATTCTAGGACGCTGAGGCAGGAGGACTGCAACTTCAAAGCTAGCCGGTGCAACTTGGTGAGACTTTGTCTCAAGCATAAAAATTTTTTTAAGAAAGGGTTTTGGTAGAGTGAAGGTTGTGCCTGATTTCTTCTGGACTTCTTCCTATGTACTTTTTCTCTTTGAAGTGTTTGTGTGTGTGTGTGTGTGTGTGTGTGGGTGGGTGTGTGTGTGTGGTACTGGGGGTTGGACAAAGGGCTTTCACATATATCCTCAGTTCTTTTAATTTTGAATCTGGGTTTCACTAAGTTGCTGAGGCTGCAACTTTTGTTTGGATTCTTTCACTGAATAAATTTTAGTCAGGAGTATGACTACATGTTGTGTATTCCTAGTAAGTCATGGAATCTGGGGATAGTCTTAGGGATGCCTTATGTAAGTCCGAAGTACTTAATAAATATAACTTGAGGTATTTCTTCTTTACTGAGTCATCAAAGGTACAGCAAATCAAGAAAGTTTGATTAGCTATGATTATTATTATACTGTACTCTATCATTTATAAAATTTTACAATGTTCTTTTGAAATGGGTTTTATGCTGGTCATAAACTCATGGGCTCAACTGTCCCTCCCACCCTAGCCTCCTGAGTAGTTGGGACCACACACAGATGCCACCATAAGTCTAAAAAAGTACCAGGAGAAGGGAAAAGAAACACCTTTCAGTACTGATTGAGTATTCTCATTCATGAACATGATGTATTATTACATTTAGTTAAATTTAGCTGCCTTTTACCATTCACCTACCGTTTACCTGCCAATTATAAAATTTTAAGTTAGAAGTAAGCAAAGACTGTGTGGTTCAGTTTCTTTTTAAATTTGAGTTTGACGACACCAAAAGATAGGTTTACAATTACTTTAGTGGCACAATAAATACTAAAAGCCTAATCTCCTAACTTCCAGTCTTACTACTTTTGTAGTCTACAATATAATTACCTCTGTATTTAGCAATTTAGCAATTTATCTGAATAAATTAAGTAGCCTATAATGCACAGAGCACTGCGTAATGGACACTGAAAGAGTAAGATATGCTCCCAGATGTAAGCAGTTTGTCTTACCTGTTGAATAAATTCATCTCTTTGGTCCATTATTATTTTCTTAGGAGGTCCATATAAGAAAAATACATTGGCAATAGCTTTAGAAATTTCTGACGCTGAAACATCACACAGAGGCAAAATCATAACCCATTTTGTGAACAAATCTGTCAAAATTATAGCATACACATGACTTCTGTTGCTTGTATGAAAAGGTCCCATCAGATCCACAGTAACTATACTCCATGAATTTTCCACCTTGAGAAGGTGCTGCTTAGGTGCTAGAAAAACTGTATTTTTTGCCAGTTGGCAATGTTGACAAGCATATACCTACAAAGAGGCACACAATAAAGAAAATATATATATATAAATTAATATACTCAACATAAATCAGAGTTTTAAAATGATTAATATGTAGCTTGTGTTTTGAAGGAGAATTTTTTGGTGTAAAAACAGACCACTGAATTAAACCTTCTATTTAGAACAAGCAAATATTAGTTGCTATTTCTGTTATGTGACCTGCTTTTGAAAGCTTATTTACATGTGACATAATTCATGTTTTACACGAATTTTTATTTTTTAACTGACAAATAAAAACTACATATTTATGGGGGACCATGTGATACTTAATTTTCTACAATCTTAAAATATGCAATGATTTCTATATGTAGAAGATACTGAAGTTATCACTATAAAGAAATTCATTCATTCATTCATCGATACCAATATTTATTGAAATATAATTTTTTGTTTTGTTTTGTGTTTTTTTTGGTACCAGGGATTGAGCTCGGGTCCTTGTGCTTGCAAAGCAGGCCACCGAACCGCTGAGCTAAATCCTCAGCCCTATTGAAATAGAATTTAAAGTAGGCTATATTTGTGGATGCCAGAAATTTTTCTAGGTCCTTAAAAAAAGGGAGGTATACAAAAACAAAGCACAGTCTGTCGTGGAGTTTTCATTTTTTCAACGTGTTTCTGTAAGTTTCACATTAGAAACTACTTTCAAGCTAACTTCTGAAGATAAATTTAAAAACCATATTAATATATTATGGTCATAATTACTTTTGACCAACATGTTCATTTCCTAACTTAAACTTATTAGATTTAACCACAAATAACCTCTGATTATTTAAAAAATTATATCTATTCTCAAAGATAAAAGATTTGACAAATACTTTACTAAATATCTGTAAAGGAATACATGACAGGTCCATAATTTGATTTTGCATTTTTGCCATGTTCAACAGTTTCTTCCTGAAGCTGGAACAGATGCAAAAGGGAACAGTGCACCCCAGGCCTGACTTAATTATGTACACATTCTTCTACACGCAGAAAACCTTATGACGGGCTTTAAAGATGAAATGATTTAGTCAAAGGAATTTCAGCACCAACCCAATTCTGCCTATAAATGGGAGTTCAATAATGAAAATCTGATTCTAAATTATCTGTTATCTAAATATATTTTCTTTTTTTGGTACCAGAGATCAAACTTGGGTCCTTGAGCTTGCAAGGCAGGCAATGGAATCACTGAGCTAAATCCCCAGCCCTAAAGGTATTTTCAAATGTTTAAAAACTACTTTATTTCTAGTTCAAAGTACACATTAGTGATTTTAAAGAATTATGAAAGGGGGCCAGGGATTTAGCTCAGTGGTGCTGCCGCTTGCCTCACAAAGCACAAGGACCTGAGTTCCATCCCTGGTACACACACACACACACACACACACAAAAAAAAACATATGAAAGAAATAAAACTCCTTTGAGGTGTTTTTTCGTACAAAAACTACCCATACACAAAGTACTTAACAAGAGGTGATATCCAGAGTAAAATCTGGAATGATATAGAATTTTGTATATTTACCAGAAAAACATAGTCAAAATATTCTAAATACATAAGCCATACCCACTGTTTGACATCATTGGTCACAGAAGTCCAATAGTAATTAGATTCCACTAGGGTGAGCGTTCTGGATATGCCATGATGAGCTCCAGCATCATTTTCATGGCATTCTCTGAGGACTTTCTTTTTTTCCTCTTCTGAAACAATTACCAAACGATTTTGTTTTCTGTCTTTTCCAACATAGAATAGCTTTTTCTCTGAAAGAAATGATACCCAAAAAAGAATTGTAACTTTTAGAGATATCTATATGGTACTAAAATAATGATAGCTTTATCTTCAAACTATGAGAATGTTTTGCTTTTTTACAAACTCTTTTTCCATTGTAATGATGCTACCATATGATCTGAAAGGTTCTCAATTGTCACACTTACTAAATATCTAGGAGGAATGCTGGCTGCTGTAATTTTGGAGCTATCAGTACAAGCAGAGCTCACTTGTTCATTAGAGTATGTAATAATGATAGGACTATGAAATTACCTATGGGAGTATTTACATTTCATCTTAAATCTAATTTTAGAGGCAACCACCTCTCCCAACTTTCTCTAGATCTTAGTAGAAAGCAGAGATGGTACATTGGGAGAACCTGTATCTTTAAGGTTTTTTGTTGTTTTTATTTTGTTTTGGGGTGTTTTTGTTGTTGTTGCAATACTGGGGACTAAACACAGGGCCTTCATTCTGACATATAATTCCAACCTTGTTTTAAAATTTTGAGACAGGGTCTCATTAAGTCAGTAAGTTGCTCAGGGCAGGACCTGAACCCAAGATCATTCTGCCTCAGACTCTAATACGAGGCAGAAGTTTCATTTTATTTAGGAAGAAGCTGGAAAGCAACCAAGGAATTTAAAAAAATCACTTCTTTAGCTTGGATCAGGCAGCAATTCAAACTTTGGAATATAGCAGAACATGTGCTGAATTACACATTCCTTACTTAAATTAGAAAGTAAGCAACCTAAGGATAGGAACTCAACTTACTTTATCCACCAAAATTTCTCCAGGGCCTAAAATGTGAGTGGCATATAAGAGGAAATTCAGTAAACACTTTTTTACTAAATAAATGAATGAATGAAATCTCACTTGAGTCTAAGAGGTTAAGAGTTGACCTGTTCTTAAGCACAAGGAGTTACTGTGTGTGGTGTACAAAGGGAGACAGGAACAGGCATTTGTTTATTATGTTACAATTTTTTTGACCTGCTTTAGGGAAAAGCCAATGTGTGCGTATAGGCAAAATCCCTATCAATGGCAGTAATATTAACTCAATTATTTGGTGATTGTCCTTGTTGGTTATTTCTCTGCTCCTTTGAAGGAGGGAGAAAACTATAATAACCTTTCAAGATAAACAGTGCCCTGCCTTTCAAATATTTAATCTATTCAAGAGAATCAGGATTAAAAATAAATGTAATCCTGAGAATATTTAATGGCAGTGGGAGAAGAGACCAGAGAAATGGATATAGTTAATTCTTCCCATTCCTTCCACTAGTTATCTTCCTCAGCATTTTCATATTAAGCATCCAAAAAGTTTCTCAATGACAGTGGCATCCACTCTTGAAAGTACTGTATTCCATCTGAGTAGGAACCATCAGAAGACAAAAGAAGTTAATTTAGGTAAGTGTTTGTTTCTCATAGTACTTATATAATTTACTAGGCCCTTTTCGTTAGCTTCAGTGTGATTCCTATTTTGCTTTTGAATGTCATTGTCAATTTAACTGATAATCACTTAGTGTGAGTTACTATATAAACTTTTAAGATTCTATAAAGAATATAGGTAAGGGACCGGGGGTTTATCTCAGTGGTTCTGCCCCCTGCGTCTCAAGCCCAAGGTTTCCAGTTCGATCTTCAGTACCTTAAAAAAAAAAAAAAGAATATAGGTAAATAAATTTATGGATTATACTCAAGATTTGGATGTCAATTTCACCTTTGAAGACAAATTTCTTTGCTGCTCTTCTTATGCCACTTCTCTCACTTGGAAGTGTAGTTGCATGATATTCACCAGTTCGTTTATAGTATGCAATCTGTTTAAGATGAAGGTCACCATTTTTTCCACTACGAACCATTGTGAACCTAGGCAAAAGATATTATTTAAGTGATAAGCAAAATCAGTTGCTATTTAAGTTCAGGCTTCTGTCACATTTCTGCTTATGTATGAACTGAGCATTCCCAGAATATTATCTGTGAGGGAGATAATTATGGTACAGGAAAGAAACAGTGATGTATTTGAACTAAAATATTCAAATGCTATTTCTGAGATACATCATGACAAAATATCTTATCTCACTCCATTGGACAGAGTGCTGAAAATTTGCTATACACTAGGAGGAAAAGGAAATGAATGAATACACTTCAAAAAGTTTGCTTAAAGTCTCTCATTGCCCTCAAGTAAAATGTCACTTACATAGTTTAGACCTATTATATGATATTTTAAAAATAACATTACCAGGAAACATAATTTATATTACTTCTAAATATATTCATGACCATAGTAAATTGCAAAAAACTCTATTCCAATCATGTTATATTTTGTAAATGTTCAAATAATGACAGCAGCCAGAACTCATGTATCTTCTATATAAAATCAATGTCAATTAATTTTTCTTGAAAAAAATGAATTTGGGTCCTGGTTAATATAGTTAACTTCACATTATGTGTATTTTACTACAATTTGAAAAAAAATGAAAGGAGATTGCTTTGCTTTCAAGAAGTGATTTTAAAAGTTTAATCCAAAGGGAACAGCTTCTAGGGAGACAATGCAAACAGAGGAGAGAAAAATTACATGAGTGGGAGTATGAAATTCGTGAGAGGACAGTAAAATACCGTACAATTCACACCACACACACCACACACACAAAACCACCAAGATACCAATTTAAACCCCTGAATGGTTACAATCTGTGTCTATTCCAACTATGTAAAAATCTGTTTCAAAAATTAAATAAATAAAAAGAACACATCAATTTGAGGTTAAAATTCTGATTTTTTGAATAATGCTATTTTATTTTGTGAAACATGGACGAGCACCATTTTCAGTAACATCAAAGACTAGGAAATCAATGCACCAGGTAATTTGCTTTATAATTTGCTTCATTTTGCTGTAAATATTTAACAACAAAGTAATGCTTTTAACTCCACATGCATATCCATGAAGCCAAATAGGGTAAATTCACTTTTTTTATGCTTATCTCTCTTTTGACTTTTATCAGTATGTTTGCAAAACATGATTGTAGTCATTGTAGGAAATTGGTACATATACATAGCACATTTCAATTCTTTTTTTTCCTCTTCCTCCTCGCCCTTTTATTTTTCCAGCATCAGTTCATTTATTTGTAAGACCTGATAAAGTTAATTATCATGTATACAGATTGAAAAACAAACGAACAGGCCAAAGAACTTTAAAAAAAACTACGTAAGATAACTGTCATTTTCTTTTCGAAAAGTATTTCTCTACTTAGGGTTCATACATGCTCATGATTTCCTAGAGGAAATCCATAGTGAGATAAAACGTGCATCTTTCCCTTTAAAGCTTCCTGACAGGCTTTTCTCCTGAACCCAAGGCTTTCCCCGCTACACAGGTGATTTTAATCTGGGGCAAATTTTTAAGCTAAAATGACAACTACGATAAGGTCAGGATGAGAATTCTCTAACTTCCACTTTTGAATTCAATCGCTTGGATTCTAACGCTACTTCTACTGGGCTGAGGGTCTTCTTAAGCATTTTGACGATTGTTAACTGATTATTAATGGCAAGGACCAGTTAAGCTTAGCACGTCGGGGAAAAACAAAAACAAAACCAAAAACCACTGAGTCAAACTAGCGACCCCGAGCCACCTCTCCAGCCCGACCACAGCTCTGGACCCCTTTCGCTTCGCCTCCAGCTCTCGGGAACTCGCAACGCCCAAGGCCCTCCCCAGCCCTAGGGCGCCTGCGCACATTCTCCACCTCCTCAAACTCTCCTCACATCCTTTGAGGGGGACGGTTTTAAAATGACTGTCAGGTTACAACTCGTTTAAAAAAAAAAAAAAAAGTACGTATGACAAAGCACACCATAACGACCACTCACCGAAGTGGTCCTAAATGCAAACGCCAGGATTTAAGTCTCTTCTCGCGATTTATAGTGCGCTGCCGGAAGCGGAACTACCCGGAACCTTAATCCGGTGAGTGCGTGTACAATTTTGATGAGAAAAGATGAGGCGGATCGTTGAGCTCTTACCGGAAATTGTTCCGCTCGGTGAAGTTTCAGAGTAACACGTAAAGCGGGTGGGGAAGAGGCGTGTCCGAGACACATGAGGTGTACGAGTGTCTGAGGTACTGTACCTCGTTGTGGCCCTTCAGCTGCTACTGGAGGGAGAAGAGCCATGTCTGCGCTTGCAACTGAAGTCTTTTTTCCAGCACCTCACCTCTGCCCCGAGAATTAGAGGAGAGAAACCGAAACCTGGATGAGCTTGGTCCTCTCCTACAGCTCGAGTGGAGACCCCAGCCTTGCCAGGTGAGGGCCCCTAGATCGATGGAGACATAGCACCTGATCGTCCCAGGGCTGCTCGGCTTTTGCTTTGCTTCCTGCTGTGCCCTGCTGACCCTAGATGCACAGAGCACGTGCGGGCGAGGGGCATGTGCACGGTGACAACGCGGGCGCGGAGAAGTGACAGTATAGCCTTGAGAGCCCTTTCGCCGCTCGATTTCTCTTTCTCCTCCCCCATTGCTTCCTTTTTTCTTTTGAAACGCCAGGCGTTGCAGTCAGTTCCGCCACAAAGCTGCAGAGCTTCAACTCCTAGCTGGGAACCCTTCCACCAAAGTGGGCAGGGTCGAGTTTGGATACTACTAACGGTAGAGGGGCTACTTTAAGTTTTCATTCTTTATAGCCTTTGCCCCTGTGCTGGTCGTCGACTTCACACCCAAACAACAAAAGCCTTGTGCGTTGGTTCGAGCTTTGCATGGTGCGGTCAGAGGCTTCAGGTCACCGCTGCACCTAATGGACTGGACAGAGTTCTTCCTGACGTGCGGATGATGACCTTTGGATCTCTTACACGGCTCTGGACAACTCTCTGGGAGTTTACTGCTCTTGGAGTCCTGTGGGTAATAGTTGTCCTTCCATTGCGTGTGGAAAGGCTTAGTTGAAGAAGTAGGAAGTATGGCTGACTTTAGCACCTAGCAAGCAAGCATCCTACCTCTACACCGAACAGGGTTTTGTTGAGCTGTTATAAATTCAATGAAACATTATAGTTTTTGTTTCAGACAGATAAAATAACGAAGGTAGCTACCGCTAATGAGCTATGCCAAGTGCTTCACATATTCTCATTCATTCCTCAACAATTCCATGAAGTCAGTTAGGTTATCCCCATTTTATAGAGATTAAGAATTGAGGCTTGGAGAGGTCAGGTAACTCGCCCAAGCAAACTTTGGCTACAAGTGAATGTTTGTATCTGAACTGTTTCACGATATCGAATTAGTGTTCTGTTGGCCAATGTTCTTCAAAGATCCCAATTTGTTCCCTAACATTTTCAATATTCATTACAATATGGATACAATATTCATTCATTTAGTTGTGTGTGTGTGTGTGTGTGTGTATCTGTGTGTGTCTGTTTGGCAAGCAACCAACACAGTCCCTGTCTTCGTGGAGCTTCAGAATTGTGATGCACAATTAAGTAATTAAAAACCCCAAATACTGTTCTTATTGCAGCACAGAGTTATAAAATCAAAGCTTGTTATTTAAGTTTTAACTCCATATACTTGCCAAGTGGTTGTAGAGGTATTAAACTGAACAATTGGTAGAACATTTATTGATCACCCAGTGAAGTCCTCGGAATATATAGGTCCTTGTTCTTCAAAAGCTCTCATCCACAGCTGCATAGAGACAATGCTATGGAACTGTGTACTAATGTTCTTAGTGGTCATGATATTGTGGTTATGTGGGAAGATGTACTTGTTTTTTGGAGATGTGCTTGAGATGATGAATGTTGATGCCTACAACTTTCAAATGGTCAGCAAATATATGTGCATGTGTATATATAAATAGAAAGTCAATTTGGCAAAATAGCGGCTGTTGTTGAAGTGAGCATATGGATGTCTTGTGAAATATTCTTTCAACTCTTCTGAATATTTGACATTTTTCATAATAAAAAAGATGGGGAGGAAAAACCCCAGCTGTGATGGAAAGAGATAATTGTAGATCTAAGCATAGAGGAGAGGCAAGAGTTTTGATGTGTATTTGGGGCCTGGTGGAAGCATGATAGTGATCAAGAAAGTATCCAGGAAAACTTTCAGGTTGATTATTAAAGAGGATATGGGAACTTCAAAGAGCACGGAATTCCAGGCAGAAGGAAGTGCAGACTCAGCAGAAAAGTATTGCATAACCTTTTGGAAAAGGGCAAAAATACCAATGTGGAGAAGATTCTTTGGAACCTGAGTTTTTAAAAATATATATAATCTTATAAATGATGTTTAGTTTGCTTTTGCTAGCCCAAAGAAACCTTTGTAACCCTTCTTGTGTAACTTATTATTAGCATTGTGGAATTTAGCCACCATTGATAGTATAATACTGTTTCTACTGGAGGAAAATGCTCTGGGAAATCAGGAAAACTGGTTGTATGTACATTATTAAGCTGAGCAGCAGAAACTAGAGTGTCCATGTCTTCTGATTTGGGGATCAGAGATTTACTAGTTTGTAGTTGGTCTTTTGAGGGAAGCTGTGGAAAGGGCAACGGTAAGGCTTGAAAAGATTCTAAAATTCAGGTTAGGGGACTGATGAATTTATCCAAGGTGTTATTTTGAGGACGAGGTAGTGCTGGCCAAACCCAGTAAAAGTATGAAAGAAGACTGTTTATCTGAGGCGTTAGTGCTCTTATAGGTCTCAGATAGTGTGGAAGGCTAGAAAAGATGTAATGGGATATCCAGCAGTGGCAGTAAAAAAGAGGAGTTGCAGTGGCTTCTTTTAGATGGAAGATACATGAGTACATTCTAACCAGGTCTAAATCTGTATTGGTTCCTTGCCAGTTAAATTAAGGTCAGAAATCTGTCTTCATTATAACAACAGTTAACAAAATATATAAACAGCTAACCTTTCTGAGTCCTTTACACGTGCTAGTTATAGCGGCATCTAAATTGTTATTTTATCATCAAAACTATAATGTTTATAATTTTAAAGATGATGGATGGAGAGGTTCAGTAACTTGGTTAAGGGCAAATTTCAGAAAAATCATTCAAACTCAGTTTTGTCAAAGTCCTCTAGAGCAGTTGTAATTCCAAGTCAAGCAGCATCAGTATCACACTGGAACTTTTAGAAAGACAAACTGTTAGCCTCCACTTCCAGACGTTTTAGTTCAGTATTTTAACAAGCCCCCCTAGATGATTCTAAGGTATACTATAATTTGAGAACTATAGTACATATTGCTTTTAGTGAGGAAACCTTAGTAAGATGGTACTCATTTTAAATCAGAAATCAAGGTTAAGTGATGCTTGTCTTTTGCAGAGATTTAAAGAGTTTCTGAAACCTGGCTGCTCAACCATTCATTAAAACATAGATTCTCTAGTTAAGAATTACTGCTTAGGAAAATTTGTCATAGACCCAGTAATTTCTGTTTCACAAGTATACCACATAATTGTAATGTAACCAGTCCATTTCAGGACCACTCCTGTAGAAGGAATAAAAGTAAAGATTCAGTTTTGATATTTGAATAGTGTACATATCTTTAAGGCCACTTAATATATTTTGGAATTCATGACTGAACATTGATCAGATAGCTGAATGATATGGAAATGTTATATACATAAATTGTATTTGGTTCAATTATCTAAAAAAAATTTATCTAAAATATAGATACTCTATAATGCTCATTAAATTTTATTTTGTACCAGATGTATACCTTTACTACATGAGTAAGAGGAAAAACGATACAGATAGATAGACAGACCTTGGGTGAGAGGAAAAAAAGATTTATCCCATAATCTTCCAAGAATTTATTAAGCATTGGCAATAATGTAATAAGACCTATGGCATCCTGATTTTTTTGTTTTAAGTATTAGATGACCCAGACAGACTTGACATTTGCAGCTCTTAATGACTTTATAATTATTGATTGATTTCTGTCAAGTTCAAATTACTTGGACTTTGAGCCCTGAAAAATTGTTCAAGGTTATACAGTTTTTGAACTCAAAACTCCAACCAAAGTATTTTTGCTTTTATTTCTGAATCTATCCTCTTAACCACTAAGGTTAAGCCTTTTATAGTATCTATAATAAAGCTTTCTTTAAACTTTTGTTCTTCCCAGGCTCAATGGTTCTTCCTGCCTTTGTAACAAAAATTTTCAGAGCAACTGTGTATATGTCCTCTTCTCCCTCTCGTTTTCTTAAATACAGTCTAATAAAACTGAAGTTTTTTTCTCAGTCTTCTGTCTGCATCTTTGCTATTTGTCCTGCATCACTTTCTGCCATTCTTCTTTTGCTTGTCTGCTGTACTTCAACCTCCTTGTTATTCCCTGAATATAGAAAACAGGCCAAACACACTTCTGCTTTTTGACCTTTAATATTTTATGTTTCTTACCTAAAATGCTTTTTTAACTCTGTGGCTGACATCCTAATTGAATTTAAATTCTTGTGTAGATGTCTTATTAGTGAGGTCTTCTTAACATGTATTTATTTGTTGATTTATCTATTGCTTTTCTTCAAGTGAATGAAAAAGACATAGTTGCAGATGTACGTTAATACTCAAATGGGACATATATTTAGCTATATACCTTAAACACATTAAAAAATGAAACTGAATTTGAGTTAAGTGGAAAAAAGGGAACATATTCATTTATATTTAGGGGGAAAAACTATGGGATACACACTTTTTTGTATTCCATGGGTTGGTAGACACATTTGACTTCTACTCACAAATATACAATTTGCTAAGTTTAAGAGGTGTTGTTAGAATGAAATTTTATTTTCCCAGTAATCTTTGTTGTTGTTATCATTGTTGATTTATATATAAGACCAGGATGAAGTTATATCCTCTAAATAACTATTTATTTCTTGTGGAATTAGGTTTTGAACA